TTATTTTGTATTTTGTCATTGGATCAGAATAACATCAACGAGAATAACTGAAGCCCAGATCCACACAGGTAGTTTGGTACCTAAACCCCAGACATAAGTGCCTATCTCCTAGACTTAGGCACCACTATGATCCATGAAACTCTCCTTGGCTGCTGCCTAACCCTGTAAGTGCCTAAACTCACTCAGCACCTACATTGTTGCTGCAAAAGTCCCCTCAGCACCTAAGTTTCTGGCTCTGGGTATGCACACTGCTGCCTTCCCCTAAAGATCTGAACACCTAGTGCCCATCTAAGCCCCAGTGTGATGCATGAACAGGGAAATATAGTCACTTCTCCATCTATTTTGCATGTCAGGCTCCAATGCAGTAGGCATACTCATAGGGTTGCCAGGCATCTGGTTTTCAACCGGAATGCCTGGTCGAAAAGGGACCCTGTTGGCTCCGGTCAGCACTGCTGACCGGGCCACTAAAAGTCTAGTCGGAGGCACAGTGGGGCTAAGGCAGGCTCCCTGCCTCTGTGCGGCTCCTGGAAGCGGCAACGTGGCCCTGTGGCCTCCTCCTGGAACCTGCATCCCACACCCCAACTCCTTACCCCACCTATGAGCCCCCCCTGCATCCCAAACCCCTCATCCCCGGCCCCACCCTGGAGCCCACACCCCCTCCTGCACTGCAACCCCCTGTTCCAGCCCCGGTGAAAGTGAATGAAGGTTGGGAAGAGCGAGTGATGGATGGAGGGGGGGAATGGAGAGAGTGGGGGACATGTTATTGGAGAAGATGCAGGGCTGGGGCAGGGAAACAGTGTTCGGTTTTGTGTGATTAGAAAGTTGGCAACCGTACATACCCATAGAGCACCTACCCGACTGGATCCCCTTCAAAATTGTAAGGGTTCCGTGCCTATGTCCCTTTGTGGATCCGACCCCAAGTGTCTAACACATGCCTCAAGCACTTATTTACAAATGAGGACCCCAGTGCTGCAAAGAGCTGTGCATGGGCAGACTACGGTGTTCACATGGAGTTCATTTAAGGATTGGAACTTTAATCTAGCAACATTTCATTCCTGAGTTAAATCTCCAACCCAGCTCCAGCTGAAGCTAACTTCCTGATAAGTTGTTGTTGTTTGTAAACAAACAAACAAAAACCCTGTCACACAAAATGTTCCAGATCTCAAAGGCACAACAAGTGTACAGTGAACCTTGTCCTAAACACTCTGTATTGTAACCCCACAGTTGGAATTTTATCAGAAACAGTTCCTTGATTTCTGGGCACCTGATGGAAGGTGTATTGTGTTTTTATAAGCTCTGTAAAACCATTCAGCAATAGGTTTGGTTGAACACATGTTGTCTGAAGAAACACAGACTGATATTTTATTTGGATGCTGTTACTGTTTTGCACCCTATCTGTGGCGAACACATTTACTTTTCCCCTTGATTTGCAGCATTTTGCAGTGAACACAAACAACATGATCATCATTGCTTTCCTAAAAATGCCTTTAAAGATCTGATGTTGAGTGCCTCCTTTGGGAAAGTTAACTGCTGCTAAGTAATACTCTAAGGTCACAGAACATGCTTTTCTTGTTTATTAACAGAAAAAAATGGAATCCGTAGTCCCAGAAAATGCCAAGGGAGTCTTGTTTGACTGGGAATCAGAACTTCTCCATCTATTTTGCATGTTGGGCCCCAATGCAGTAGGCATACCCCTTTCAGTTTATGATACTATGATACTATCTTTTTTGTTTTCACTTTTGGTTTAAGTAATATTATGTTCATAGTCAAAATTTATGTTGTGGCACGAGGAGAAAAATTAAATAAGAAAGAAACATGTTTTTACGATAAAATAGCTTTCCTCAAAGGTGTGTTGTGAGGCTTAATTTATCGGTGTTTAAACATGCATTGAGATCCTCTGATGGAAGGTATTACAGAAGTGCAAAGTGCTAGTATTATTACCAAGCAACTTCTTCTCATGACTGTTAGGTTTAACTCTGAATACATAGCATCCTCCTGCTCCCAGTGGGTCAAGGTGGGTAGAGAGGATTTCTAAATAAATACAGGGGGAGTCTCTTCTCTGCTACAGCCCATTAAAACTGCTCCAGAAACATTAGAACCGTGGAAGTGGAGATGCCCAGGAGAGAATTTCTTCTGGTGCAGAATTTATGCAAGACACCTTATTTTGCCCTGCAAAGCCTTCTCTACAAGACCCTGGATAGGAGTCATGTCAGGGACAGGGAAAGATAACATGTGGGGGTTGGAGGGGTAGGGCCACAAAGTGTAGTAAAAACAACAATAACACTGAGCACTTACATGGCACTATTTGCAGCTATGTGTAGATTCTAGGTGGTGCTGCCACCCAGAGCAGGTAGGGACAAGCTGCCATAACTTTGGCAGTACTAAGTTTTGCAGTAGGGGGCACTTGCCAGCAGCCCTGAATTGAGAGTGCGTAAATGTGGCCAAAATCCATCTTAGCTCCCCAACTCCTGGGGTGAGTTTTATGCTATATCCCTAAGAGATTGCATATTACGTAGACAGCAGAAGGAGAACACAGCAATAAATAAGAATGAGTGAGAAATCACTATAACAAACCTAAGATCAACATAGATTTTTTTAAAAAATAATCTTGCAATATAAAAATCAGAAAAAATAAATGCCACCAGATATTATACTCGCTTTGTCTGTTGTTGATGTGAATGAACTGTCACTTTGGATACAATCTTCCATTAAATAACTGTTACAGTATGCCTGCTATCTATATATTTGAGTAACAATTTTTCAGTTATCTTTACAAAGTATATAGAACCTATTTTTATCCTGAACTTATTCAAGCAACCTCCTTTCACTTTCTTGACAGTTAGTAACGATATTTATCAATTGTATTGAGTAATCTTATGCTTTCTGTTGCAAACGTATTTTTCATAGTCTCCTGAAATCAAAATAGAATCCTCCTACACATCACAGTCTGACTTTCAATGTGTAGATGCTGTAAGCCTCCAAGCAGCATAAATATAGAGGGCTGTCTATCAAGCCACATTCTGCTAAATATAACTTCTTTACTCCCCAGGATATTCGGTTGTCTCCAATCTTTATGTTGTATTATTATTCAGGTGATCATTTTTAATGTTCCCTAATCATTTTGTATTACAATTACTTTCACCTGGATATTATCCAAGTTCTTCCCTTTCGTAGTTACTGTAGTATTGTTTCATGATTGTTTACCTCGTGTAGTACATTTCTGTACATACGTAGCTATAATTTGAGCATCTGCTTCCCCCACCTATGCCTCCCTTTGAGTTTTAAATAGCTAACATTTAAGTAGCCATTTGCCATTTCTCTCCTCAATATGCAGCACTTCTATTTTTAAGTTAATATTATTTGAGCATCTATCCCCAGGGGTCTGGTCAGGATTTTAAGGACTCATCTGCAGGGGGGAAAAATCACCACCTATTCTCCAACCTGTGGCAAGACACAGGATGAAAATGGTAGGATGGCTGTAAAACTAAAAGCCTTTTAGTATTTAATAATACAGTATATGATGTAGGAAAGTGGTGAGGTGCTAGCTAAATGCCCATTTTCCCCCCCTATAGGTCTGGCCTGTCTACTCTGCTCTTCAAGAGTCTTGTTTATAAGTTTGTTGTAGTTAGCAGTGTTCTGTCTGACTCAGCTCCTCTACATCTGTGTTCTGTCAAGGGTTTCCTGCTGAAAAGCAGCGGAGTGTTGAATTGGGAAATTCTTAGATGATATAGAGCCAGGTAGCAACGTCATTTAGAAATGAACAGGCACAAGCTATTACAAAAGGGGGAATGAAAAATGTCTGCTGCACTGAAATAAAACCTGACTTGTAGTTAATGATCCCAGGCAGAGTGGCCCTTGGCTGTCCTTCATGTGAGCCTTAGCAGACAACAAGTGGCTGCCCTGGAAACTGCCCCTTTTAAAAAACCTTTCAGTTATGAACACAAGTGATTTTTTTTCAAAGTGTTGGATTTCAGCTCTTCAAGTCATCTCATACTAAGACTATCTGGTGTGTGTGTGTGGAAGTGGGATTAGACTACATTCTATTATAAGTGTTTGGAAATTGTGCAAAATGGATATGTAAACTCACTGGGGTGCCTTTTAGGAAGGAAGGGACAGAATGGTCCTGATGGTTTGTTGCTGGCACAGGGACAAAGGTGCATTTAAGTTACCTTTACAGCCTCCATATTCTTGTCCTCACTAGCCCTAAGCATAAATAAGAGCCACCTTGGGGCTGCTGTAACTTACATTCTGTCTGCAATGGCTCCTTGCAGGCTGTCATCAGATGGCATTGCCTAAACCAAAGTGCTCTTTGATCATGTCTGCTCCCTCCCTTTCCTTACAAGGCTACAAGTGGAGAGGCATAGAGCCATTCCAGGAGCTGCCCATCACCTGGGGAACCTTTTTACACTGGCAGTATTCTTAGGGCAGCTTCTGCCCCTTTCTATGGCCCTTTATTCTATCGGAGCTGTGTAAAGGACCTAAGGTACAGTGGAAAATGGGCCTCCAGGAGCTTTATATTTTTTTCTGTGCAGCAGTTGATTTGTGGAGGTTGCAGGGGTGCTAGGGGATCCCATCAAAATTGTCACCAGAGGAAATATTCATGAATTCTTCCCTTCCATTTTATTTTGGAGTCGAGTATTATTTAGGTATTTTATAAATGATCTACCTCCCCTCCGCCCTGACACACACACACACTCACGTGGTCTCAATCGCATAAATACGGGGATTGCAGACAAATTAAGAAAAGTTGACAATTTAAATGGGTGTGAATGTGATCATTGGAGAAATATGTGCTAATATTGTGCAATTAGGGTGTGATCCAAAGTCCACTGAGGTCATGGGCAGTTTTCCATTGGTTTCAGTGGGCTTAGGATCAGGCCCATTGGGGCAAATACTGAGAAATTCCTATTAATTCCAGTGTCTAATACTCAACTGATATCTTGAAACATTGGCTGTGTGTTGTTTTGGCTGACTGGTTGTTCTCTTTCTCTCATTACCAGGGGGTATTTTTGAATGTGTGGAATCCGGCCCAATGGGAGCAGAGGAATTGGCCTTCAGATTTGCTGTGAACACAATCAACAGAAACAGAACTCTCCTGCCAAACACCACATTAACATATGACACCCAAAAGATAAATCTCTATGACAGTTTTGAAGCATCCAAGAAAGGTGATGTTTTGCATATTTAAACTTTTATGGCAGCAGCTAAACCTCACTTGGCTCACCTACCTGAATAAATGCCTGTCAGTAAACTATTGAGAAACGATACTGTACAAGGGTAAGGCGTGCACAGCTGACATAAAATAAAAGCTTTAAAAATTGTCTTTTAAAGGTAACAGTTTGAAAAAAAAATCACATCAGCATTGCTTCCCCATCAAAAGACTATTATTTCCTTATATATTTAAAATCAATTTTTAGATGAGGGTGGTTTTAAGGTATGTCTACACTGCAATTAAAAACTTGCGGCTGGCCTATGCCGGCTGACTCAGGCTGTGGGGCTGTTTAATTGCAGTGTTGACTTCTGGGCTTGGACTGTAGCCCAACTTCTGGGACCCTCCCACTTCACCTAGAGCACAGGTTCCTGCCTGAGCCCTGAAGTTTGCAGTGCAATTAAACATCCCCACAGACTGAACCCCATGAGCCTGAGTCAGCTGGCATGGGCCAGCCAGGGGTGTCTAACAGCAGTGTAGACGTACCCTCAGAGACTAGCAACCTTGGAAACTGAGTGGCCTCTTTGGGCCCAGTCCAGCAAGAAACTCAACTTTTGGTGAAGTCAGTGAAAGTTGAGTGTGCTCAGCACCTCGCAGGACTGGGACCTTCATGCTGTGGCTTATTGTGCCACCCTGTCTCCCAATAGTTGGTGCACCTATTTAACAGAACGTGATGCTTCAAGCTTTCCCTGTGCACCTAAAGTGTGTGTTTTATATGTAATGTTACAAACTGATTCAATTGGCTCCACAAACCAAACTTTATTTGAGGCCGCTACAGGTATGTCTACACTACAATTGGAAGTGAGTCTCTCAACCTGGCTCAACCGCAGCATGGATGTTGCAGCATTGGTGGATACTCAGACTAGCGACCTGAACTCAGACTCACTTGGGCATTAGCTCAATCCTCTCTTGATGACACAATGTCCACACTGCTATTTTGGGCCCGCGAACACAAGTCTGTTTACCTGGACTGCGAGGCTTTTTCCCAATTGCAGTGTATACCCTAGATGAATCACAATGGGGTAAACACATGCTGCACTGAGATTCCAGTTGCTGCTTCCAGTATATGTTAAAATTAGAGACAGGTCTGAACCAAACCCTTTGATTTAGGCTGTTCAGAATCTAAAGTTCTGAATTTTGTGATAGTATGTCATTTGTAACTAATAACTTCTTCCTGTGCACTTAGGCTCCAATTCAGTTCCAAGCATTTAATCACATTTTTAAGTTCATTCCTTTTTGGCAAAGCATCTAAGCACATGCTTAAGTCTCCTTAAAGTCAATGGGACATAAACACAGGTTTATAAATTAAGGGATGGACTGCTGTATCAGGGCCTCTGAAATTTGCTTAAAAGTAAATGGATTGTTTTTTAATTAAAACTGATTCCCGTGATTGTGAATCCTGTGTAGTTTCAGACCTTGCTGCTGTACTTTCTGTATCTTTTTATTGTGATCCCTCATACATACTAACAGAGGGTCCTGTGGCACCTTTGAGACTAACAGAAGTACTGGGAGCATAAGCTTTCGTGGGTAAGAACCTCA